CTCTAACTGACCTCAGGTCAGTGACCTAAAAAAAACGAACTATATGTTATACAACTCGGTGAACTGAGCACATCCTGAAAGTTTGAAGGAAATCATTCAAAAACTGTGAGTTGGACAGGTGCAAAAAGAAAATTGAAATTTCACCGTGACCTTGTACCGGTTTTTCTGACCTGGTGACCTGACCCAATGTCACCCGGACCGGAAATTTTCGGTTCATATGTAAAAAGGTTGCCCCATAGGCTGTGCCAAATTTGGCGGCGCTGCGCGCCGCCGTTTTTGCGCTGTCTTCGAAAAACCTTAGGGTGGTAGGGGGGGGGGGGTCGCATCGACCCCCTGCCAGGGCGAGGGTTAAGTTGATCTCACGTGAACTCACCTGAAAGCATGTCATTCGACGCACTTGAGCTAAACGAACACATTTATGCCAAAATCGCGGCTCTGCGGCCATTTTTTTGCAAAGTTATTTACTAAAAACTGAACCTGTAACTTCAGTCACTTGACCTGACCAGCCTCAGACGCTACCGGTTGACCTTAGACCTTAAATAAGGGTACCAATCGCTGCGACTTGTAACGGCACACACACTCGTTTTTTTTCCGCGAGGCTTTAGCTCTTTTAGAAGCGAAGCGGCGCGCTGGGGTCGTATCAACCCCTCCAAAACCCATTTTGTTTGCGGGAAAATGAGGAACTTATAGAAATAACACCTAATTCTAATTTCTTGGATGTTGATTTGCAATGACATGAAGTTTTTTTTTTTTTTTGAACAAATAAAAATGCTAAACAATTTTGGTCCCAGAAGTCATTAGAGGCAAATGAAAAAAGATATTAAGATTTTTGTTAAACAAATAAATTTTTTATTTGCAATTTTTAAAAAATAATATAAATCTTTGATTCATCGCAAGCTTAATGCTGTTCGCGGTTTATTGGTTGCTTAACACGCGCACCGACGGGGGGGTGGATATCCGCCCCCCTGAGGTTTTTCGCAAATAGCAGGCAAACGGCGGCACGTAGCGCCGCGAAATTTGGTAGGACTATTCTCTCATAAATTTTACACATGGTGTGCAAGTTTCAACCTCCTATCTTTTAAGGTCAGGTCACCAGGTCACTTCAAATGACCCAACCTCAAGTCACTTTTTTGCAACTTTGTCACCGTGCCAGAGCTACAGTACATAGATGTCGGAGGCCTTTGAAAATTGAAAGTCGCAGGATGTTATAAGATCATTAGTAGCTACAATTTGTATATCTCGGAATTTTGATATCGATGACCTAAGGTCAGGTCAATTTCTCGACCTCCCCATAATAAGTCAATGCAATGGGGGAAAAATCAACTCCGTTTTTACCACTAAAACGGGTCGGAATGGTCCCATAAACCATACGTGACCTCATATACGATCAACCTTCATTACCTTGAGGTCTGTTTTGCTGTTGGGCAGGTGTAAGGTCATGTGACGTCATCAAAGGTCACCAGCGGTTTTTTGCCAATAACTCCGTACAGGAACAAGATACAGCCGCGCGGATGGTCTCATTGTGTTCAGCTGGTCAAGGCGCATCGAATGATATACATGATGACCTCGAGGTCACGTGACCTGATGACAACCATTGACCTTGACCTTTCGAGGTCAACATATATATCATTCGATGCGGATTGACGAGAGGATCACGATGCTGCCCTTAGTTTGTTCCTATATTGACTAGTTCGAAAATTATTCGAGAAAAACTCTCTCCATACCTAGCTTCTCCAGTTTAACTTTTTTGACCCCTGTGACGTCATCTTTGACCTGACCTGAAAATGACCTTTGTAAAAATTGTAGACCTTGTCCGTGCGTATCCCTTGCCGTTTACCGCTTGTCGCTATCTTGCTTCGTTCTCGAGATCTCAGGGGGGGGCGTTCATCCGCCCCCCCCCCCGTCGGTACGAAGTTGGCGCAGACCCCCGTCGGTGCGCGGATTAACCCGCGCCCTGCTGGGGGTCCTGGATTTCCACGCCCTGCTGGGGGGGGTGTTCAAACACCCCCCCTTCTAACTTGGCTCCTGGGCCACGTAGCGATACGCGGAAGGCGGCGTTCGAAAGAGCATAAAAAATAATGACGAAATTACTTTGGTCAATTTTTTGGTCAGGTCAAAGGTCAGGTCACCAGAGGTCATTGAAAGCGAAATTTCGCCGATTTCCAGGTCGAATGTCGACAATTTCCAAGAAGCCAACGCATAACTTGGGAACCAATAGAGCTACAGCGCTGCGGAAAAGCGCATTCGATAGCCCTATTAGCGCTCTTTCTGAGTAATTCTCTCAGATTTGACCTAGCGTCAACGGTTTTGCCTGCAGGGGGCAAAAACTGCAAAAATAGCCGATTTTTTCGGAAACAGTTTTTCTGCAATAACTTTTGACCCAAACCTTGTACGAGCTTACTTTTACCGGCATCGTGTTCCTCTCGTCAAGACGCATCGAATGAACTATAACTTGACCTTGAAAGGTCAACTTGAAAATTTGACCTCAGGTCAAGGTCATGACCTGACCGGAAAGGGTCATGTTGCATATCAGTCGATCCGTATCGTCGAGCTGAACACATCTAAGGTGTTTTCATCGCTCTAGCATGCCTCTATCAAAAGTTATTTGCGAAAAACTGTTAGATACCATTCGTGACCTAAGATGACCTCAGGGGCATAACCAGGGGTCACGGACACCATTTTCATGTTCAGTGTGTCTAAACCACTTGTAATTCAGTGTTTGGGAGTGTTTATAATGCTTTTCGTCCAAAAGAGGCGCATTTCAATTTTCTCCCATTGACTTATAATGGGGAGGTCGCAAAATTGACCTGACCTTAGGTCATCGATATCAAAATTCTGAGATATACATTTTGTACATGCTATTGCTCTTAGTAATCGCTGAAAGTTTCAATGCGATCGGTCACTCGGTGTAGCTATGGCAGACATTGAAACTTTTTATGAGGTGAGGTCACTTCAAGTGACCTGGTGACCTGACCTTGAATGACCTTGGTCTGAAATTTTCACAACATGTGTAGAATTGATGTATGATAAGGTGTACCAAAAACGGCGGCGCTCCGCGCCGCCGTTTTTGAGATATCCGCGAAAAACCACAGGGGGGGGGGTGTTCAAACACCCCCCCCCCAGCAGGGCGCGGGTTAATCCTCGCGGGTCCGGGGGCGTTTTTCGCCCCCTGGCGAATATTTGCGATAGCTCCCGAACGCCTAGGGATAGGAAAGCGAAACTTTCAGTACCTTTTTTCGCATCAATTTGACATCATCTGAAGTAAAAAATAGACCTAGCCCCCTTGATGACGTCACAAAGTCGATTTTTCTATACCTCTGCACGGCAAACTTCGGCGTCACAGACGCGAACTTCAAATAGCTACTAAAAATAGAATTTTAGAGATAAAGACAAATTACGAACACGGTTGTGTAGCGTTTGACCTGGAAAAAAAAACAGAAAAATAGTTTGGGTGACCTGAGGTCAGAGGTCAGGTCAACGACCCCGAAATGTGGTTTTAGTTTTTCGCAAATAACTTCGACAAAAATGGTCCTAGAGCTACGGCAGTAGTACGGGGACCCGCAGTTGCTACTGTACAGCGACCCTGAGTAAATTGTCCCAGCACCCTCACAGGGAACAACGATAAGCTGTCAGAGGACACGCACAGAAAACCTCAGCTGCTCTTGTACAGGGACCGGCAGTCGATATCAATGTTATCGGTTGTTACTGGACAGGACAGACGGCTAGAGTTGGGGTTCGTGTATGTACAGTAGCAACTGCGGGTCCCCGTACCATCGCATTTGCCTTGTCAAGCCGCGTCGAATGATATAGATTTTGTCTGGAAAAGGTTAAATTTTATGTTGACCTCATGTGACCTCGAATGACCTTTGGTTGACCTTGACACATGAAAGGTCGTTTATGATGAATTTGTACCCTCTGATTACGAATCTGGCATCTATTTTCCTCTAAGCCTTTATTTAGAGCTTCCGGATAGCAAAATTGTCATATTTATTATTACGAACTTAAATCAGTGAAATAGCCTCTAGCAAGGATACTCTTCTGTGACCTTGACCTTTGAGCTGCCTTGTATCGTAAGATGAACCACAAATAGGGAACTGATAAGCCTCAAAACATTTCAAAACATTTCGAAAGTTAGCACGCAAGATGTACGAAAAAGTGCAAAGTTTAAGGTCAGTTTGGGGCGTGACCTTGACCTTGACCTTTGATTTTTAGCACATTTTCGGAATCCTCAGATTCTGTTCTTTTGTTTGTCACCCAATTTTGCCGGTTTGATGCATCCTGCCGTCCTGTAGAAGTCTTACTTTGAGATCACTACACATGTGCCGGTTTTTGCCTTTGACCTTGACCTCTGACCTTGAAAATTGACCTGATGTAAACATTTTTAGGTTCCTTAGAATCATTTCGTAAGGACCTTTCGTTTGGTATCACTTTTGCTTCCGTAGCTCCCTTATTTACGAAGTTAGACAGGGGCGAAAACGCCCCCCCCCCCGGGCTGCGGTGGCTGGGATTACGCCGGGTTAACCCGTTCTTGAATTATAGGCCATCAAACTCAACGTTACAAACCAAATTAAAAAAAAAAATGTAATGCAATATAACTCAAAATGTTTTGATCTGAGAGGTCTGATTTTTTGCCAGGCGTCTTTGGGGCATATGATTACCCCTAGGACTGATTTTCATTAAAATCTGAGAGATGAGGGTGACGGGCCTGGTACGATCTATCGTGGAATGCCCCAGTTTTGAAGATCGCCATGGGGCTGCCTGGGGCAATATCTCCCGAAGTATTTGATAGATGAGATTGAAAATGTCACAACATGAATCGCCGGGCGATGTAAACCTTAGACGAATTCCACCAAAAATATGGTAGGTAGGGTGTGATGTCACGATTTTGGGTTGGTATGTCGTGGACTGTTTGCCGAGGTAGCTGTGTGCTGTTGTGGAGTATTCACCCCATTGGGGCCCCTGACCAGTTTGTTCATATGGTTTATGTTGTCCGTCTCCAGAGGATCCGGAGGGGTTCGTGGAGATGGTCGACCCCACCACGGGAAAGGTCACTCTGAAGAAGAAGCTTGACCGGGAGGACCCAGATCTCATTGATCGCGGATTTATCAACGTGGTACTACAGGCCAGGGAGTCCCCGAAGAGTAAGTACACCACGTGACAGGGAGTCTACGGCAGTGTCAATGTCACTGTACAGAGAGCAGCCGTACCACGTGACAGGGAGTCTACGGCAGTGTCAATGTCACTGTACAGAAAGCAGCCGTACCACGTGACAGGGAGTCTACGGCTGTGTCAATGTCACTGTACAGAGAGCAGCCGTACCACGTGACAGGGAGTCTACGGCAGTGTCAATGTCACTGCACAGAAAGCAGCCGTACCACGTGACAGGGAGTCTACGGCAGTGTCAATGTCACTGTACAGAAAGCAGCCGTACCACGTGACAGGGAGTCTACGGCAGTGTCAATGTCACTGTACAGAAAGCAGCCGTACCACGTGACAGGGAGTCTACGGCAGTGTCAATGTCACTGTACAGAAAGCAGCCGTACCACGTGACAGGGAGTCTACGGCAGTGTCAATGTCACTTTACAGAGAGCAGCCGTACCACGTGACAGGGAGTCTACGGCAGTGTCAATGTCACTGTACAGAAAGCAGCCGTACCACGTGACAGGGAGTCTACGGCAGTGTCAATGTCACAGTTTACAGAAAACAGCCGTACCACGTGACAGGGAGTCTACGGCAGTGTCAATGTCACTGTACAGAGAGCAGCCGTACCACGTGACAGGGAGTCTACGGCAGTGTCAATGTCACAGTTTACAGAAAACAGCCGTACCACGTGACAGGGAGTCTACGGCAGTGTCAATGTCACTGTACAGAGAGCAGCCGTACCACGTGACAGGGAGTCTACGGCAGGGTCAATGTCACTGTACAGAAAGCAGCCGTACCACGTGACAGGGAGTCTACGGCAGTGTCAATGTCACTGTACAGAGAGCAGCCGTACCACGTGACAGGGAGTCTACGGCAGTGTCAATGTCACTGTACACTGTACAGAAAGCAGCCGTACCACGTGACAGGGAGCCTACGGCAGTGTCAATGTCACTGTACAGAGAGCAGCCGTACCACGTGACAGGGAGTCTACGGCAGTGTCAATGTCACAGTTTACAGAAAGCAGCCGTACCACGTGACAGGGAGTCTACGGCAGTGTCAATGTCACACTTTACAGAAAGCAGCCGTACCACGTGACAGGGAGACGGGAGTCTACGGCAGTGTCAATGTTACTGTACAGAAAGCAGCCGTACCACGTGACAGGGAGTCTACGGCAGTGTCAATGTCACTTTACAGAGAGCAGCCGTACCACGTGACAGGGAGTCTACGGCAGTGTCAATGTCACTGTACATAAAGCAGCCGTACCACGTGACAGGGAGTCTACGGCAGTGTCAATGTCACAGTTTACAGAAAGCAGCCGTACCACGTGACAGGGAGTCTACGGCAGTGTCAATGTCACTGTACAGAAAGCAGCCGTACCACGTGACAGGGAGTCTACGGCAGTGTCAATGTCACTGTACAGAAAGCAGCCGTACCACGTGACAGGGAGTCTACGGCAGTGTCAATGTCACTGTACAGAGAGCAGCCGTACCACGTGACAGGGAGCCTACGGCAGTGTCAATGTCACTGTACAGAGAGCAGCCGTACCACGTGACAGGGAGCCTACGGCAGTGTCAATGTCACTGTACACAAAGCAGCCGTACCACGTGACAGGGAGTCTACGGCAGTGTCAATGTCACTGTACAGAAAGCAGCCGTACCACGTGACAGGGAGTCTACGGCAGTGTCAATGTCACTGTACAGAAAGCAGCCGTACCACGTGACAGGGAGTCTACGGCAGTGTCAATGTCACTGTACAGAAAGCAGCCGTACCACGTGACAGGGAGTCTACGGCAGTGTCAATGTCACTGTACAGAAAGCAGCCGTACCACGTGACAGGGAGTCTACGGCTGTGTCAATGTCACTGTACAGAGAGCAGCCGTACCACGTGACAGGGAGTCTACGGCAGTGTCAATGTCACTGTACAGAAAGCAGCCGTACCACGTGACAGGGAGTCTACGGCAGTGTCAATGTCACTGTACAGAGAGCAGCCGTACCACGTGACAGGGAGTCTACGGCAGTGTCAATGTCACTGTACAGAAAGCAGCCGTACCACGTGACAGGGAGTCTACGGCAGTGTCAATGTCACTGTACAGAAAGCAGCCGTACCACGTGACAGGGAGTCTACGGCAGTGTCAATGTCACTGTACAGAAAGCAGCCGTACCACGTGACAATGCATGTAACTAAGTAATAAACACAGCACGACACAACCTTACATGCTACTTTCTACCACGGAGCTAGCATACGTAAGAGCCCTGACGACCAGCAAACTGAACTGAGTCCGATCTCAAAGATCGGGACGGCTGGAATAAGTCGCTCTGATGGTTATCCTGCATAAGAGATTGAGCAGTTAAGGAACTCGCACCAAAAAGCCTTTCCTCACAGATATCGGGGTTCCATGAGCACAGTAAATACGTATTTAGCCGCAAATGCGAATTAGGAACGCATTACCGACTCATGTAGCCACCTGCTAGTACGAATCGGCGATCCGAAACGCGGTTACATGAGCAAAACAAATACGTATCACGATCGGATTCACCGCTAATGCGAATCAGGAGCGTACTACCGACTCATGTATCCACCTGCTAATACGAATCGGCGGTCCGAACAAAATCCGCTGAGAAACAGGCTTAGGAGCGAATAGGACCAAGATACGTATTACAGGAACTATTACTTCCCAAAAAGAAGCCTTAAAATGGAAAATACAAGGTATTTTGTCATTTGTTGCTTTTGAAATCAAAAGTTAAAAAATATTTAAGTATTTCGTCAAGTTTTCAAAATAAATATGATGAAAACAAAAGAAGAAAATACCTAAGAACTTTCAATGGAAACATTTTTCTGACAGCACTACAGACGAATCGAGAGAGGCAAGTGAGCAATAAGTCAAAACAATACAACTTTATTTTCAACTTTTTTTCTCTAGTTAACTTAGAATGTTATGAGCAGATGAAATGTAAAAAAAAGACATAACATATTAAATAATCAATTCAGTCACCTCTATTGCTACGGAAATGCGCCACATTTGTATGCTATTCCGTTTGTAATGCGCATCGGACCGAGAGCCAAACTAGATCCGTTTGACGTCACTAAAACGAATTTGCTCATGTAGTCGGTGCCGTGAATAAGTTCTAGGGGAGCTGATGCGAATTAGCGTAGTACGTATTTGGAACGGATCGCTCATGTAGCCGAGGTGCACGACTCGGACCGGAACTGGACGTATTTCACAAGAACTATTCTTTGCTGAATGGAAGCGTCAAAATGCAAAATAATAAGCATTTTTTATTGAATGCTTTGTAGAAAATAGCAAAAAAAAATTGTTGATATTTTGGTTTAGTCTTTGGAGGTGAATTTGGTAAATAGCAAAAATAAAATGAATGAAATATTTTGATGGATAAATTTATTCTGACCACCCTGCTGTCGCTGCATGGCTAATAAGTGCTCAGTGATTTAAAACACGAAAACTTTGTTTTCAATTTTTGATTTCATGTTTACTTTTAATGTTTTTGAGCATATCAAATGATGTTGTATCGTTCAATAATTAAAATTTAGTTCGGTCGTCCCGGTAAATGCCGCAACTGCGCCATGACTGTACGCTAATCCTATTCCGTTTGTGATGCGAATTACCGGCCGTCGAGGAGTCAGCTCGGGTAAGCCAAACAAGATCCGTTTGACGTAGATAAAACGAATTAGTCTCATGTAACCGGTGCCGTAGATACGTTTGTGGGGAGCTGATGCGCATTAGCGTAGTGCGTATTTGGAACGGATCGCTCATGTAACCCCGGTAAGAGTCCACCCTGCCACTTCCACCGGAGGCACGTGGAACAGCTCAGGGCGTCGTGTGCGTCGGCCTAGTACGTTTAACCCGCGCCCCGTTGGGCTCTGCCGAGCAACGCGCCCTGTTGGGGGGGGGGGGCAATTTCCCCCCCCCCCCTTAACATCTCGAGAACCACGCAACCTAGCGACAAGCAACAAACGGTGTTGGATAGCCCTATCAGGGAACTACCTTATGACCCAATTTTATTGACCTAGGTCAAACCGATGACGTCACAGGTCAGGTCAAAAGTAGAATTTTCACCGTTTACAGGAATTTCAAGAAATGTGTTGTAAAATCGAGTAAAAGGCATTTCATTGAAAATCATCGATGGGAAATGTTCTTCAAACACGTATTTTGCTATTTGAGGTCACTGATACCGGGTCAGGTCACAGAGGTCAGGTCACTGGGGGGTCACAATATGAAATTGTCGTGTAATACATGTTTTATGGTCCATCTTACATGACAAATGCGATTATGTGGGTCAGGCAGCCTTTGGGGCCAGCTTAGGTCACGTTTTGGTCAAGGTCAGGTCAAGGTCAGGTCAAATTAGGTCAAATTTCAAAGTTGATATTTTTGCATAAAATGGGTATCGATTCGAAATGGGCATTCGATTCGTGTGACTGTATATCACCCCGTGCTACCGCAGGTGATCCGGACCAGGCCTGTGTGACTGTGTATGTGCTACCCCAGGTGACCCGGACCAGCCCTGTGTGACTGTGTATCATCCCGTGATACGGCAGGTGACCTGGACCAGCCCTGTGTGACTGTGTATCACCCCGTGCTACCGCAGGTGACCCGGACCAGCCCTGTGTGACTGTGTATCACCCCGTGCTACCCCAGGTGACCCGGACCAGCCATGTGTGACTGTGTATCACCCCGTGCTACCGCAGGTGACCCGGACCAGGCCTGTGTGACTGTGTATCATCCCGTGCTACCGCAGGTGACCCGGACCAGGCCTGTGTGACTGTGTATCACCCCGTGCTACCACAGGTGACCCGGACCAGCCCTGTGTGCCTGTGTATCACCCCGTGCTACACCAGGTGACCCGGACCAGCCCTATGTGACTGTGTATCACTCCGTGCTACCACAGGTGACCCGGACCAGCCCTGTGTGACTGTGTATCACCCCGTGCTACACCAGGTGACCCGGACCAGCCCTGTGTGACTGTGTATGTGCTACCCCAGGTGACCCGGACCAGCCCTGTGTGACTGTGTATCACCCCGTGCTACACCAGGTGACCCGGACCAGCCCTGTGTGACTGTGTATCACCCCGTGCTACCGCAGGTGACCCGGACCAGCCCTGTGTGACTGTGTATCACCCCGTGCTACCCCAGTTGACCCGGACCAGCCCTGTGTGACTGTGTATCATCCCGTGATACGGCTGGTGACCCGGACCAGCCCTGTGTGACTGTGTATCACCCCATGCTACCCTAGTTGACCCGGACCAGCCCTGTGTGACTGTGTATCACCCCGTGCTACCACAGTTGACCCGGACCAGCCCTGTGTGACTGTGTATCATCCCGTGATACGGCAGATGACCCGGACCAGCCCTGTGTGACTGTGTATCATCCCGTGCTACCACAGTTGACCCGGACCAGCCCTGTGTGACTGTGTATCACCCCGTGCTACCGCAGGTGACCCGGACCAGGCCTGCAGCAACATCACCTGTGTGAACGGCACCGCCCTGATCACGGTCAATGACCTGGAGGACAACGGACCAAAGTTTGAGAATACCTCCATGCAGGCCGACTTCGCAGAGAACAAAACGGGAAATCTGGACCTCACCATCAATGTGACTGATAAGGACGCGGTGAGTGACAGATCGGGCTCAGTAGCAGATCAGGGCTCAGTGGCAGATCAGGGCTCAGTGGCGGGTCGACAGGCTCCCGCCGTGTTGGGTTGTTTCTGTTGTTGTTACAGGCACTCCACGGTGCTTTGTTGTTGTTAGGGGTCCTCCGCAGTGTTGTTTGTCTGTCTGACGCCGGCGCTCCGCGCTGCCGCAGACGTTCCAGTTGTTGTTGTTGTTGTTGTTGCTGTTGTTGTGTTGTTGTTGGCGTCTGTCTGACGCCGGCGCTCCGCGCTGCCGCAGACGTTCCAGTTGTTGTTGTTGTTGCTGTTGTTCTGTTGTTGTTGGCGTCTGTCTGACGCCGGCGCTCCGCGCTGCCGCAGACGTTCCAGTTGTTGTTGTTGTTGCTGTTGTTGTGTTGTTGTTGGCGTCTGTCTGACGCCGGCGCTCCGCGCTGCCGCAGAAGTTCCAGTTGTTGTTGTTGTTGCTGTTGTTCTGTTGTTGTTGGTGTGGTGTCTGTCTGACGCCGGCGCTCCGCGCTGCCGCAGACGTTCCAGTTGCTGTTGTTGTTGTTGCTGTTGTTGTGTTGTTGTTGGCGTCTGTCTGACGCCGGCGCTCCGCGCTGCCGCAGACGTTCCAGTTGTTAATGTTGTTGTTGCTGTTGTTCTGTTGTTGTTGGTGTGGTGTCTGTCTGACGCCGGCGCTCCGCGCTGCCGCAGACGTTCCAGTTGCTGTTGTTGTTGTTGCTGTTGTTCTGTTGCTGGCGTCTGTCTGACGCCGGCGCTCCGCGCTGCCGCAGACGTTCCAGTTGTTGTTGTTGTTGTTGCTGTTGTTCTGTTGTTGTTGGCGTCTGTCTGACGCCGGCGCTCCGCGCTGCCGCAGACGTTCCAGAACAACTACATCACACTGTCTCTGGAGGGAGCTCAGAAGGACGTGTTCCAGCTGCAGCAGTCCTCTGGCTCCGGGCAGCTGCAGACCACCATCGCTGTGGTCGACAAGGACTACATGGACTACGAGCTGGAGGACCACCGGACCATCACCCTGACGGTACGGGGCCATAAACAGCTCTTGTCCCGCACCGTAGACAGGGTTTACAATTGCTTCACGTGCAAAGAGAGAACTTATCGGATGTCGTGTAACTGATTTAAGCGTTTAGACGATTAACCCGCGCCCCGATGGGGGGAGGGGGCAGAATCTGCCCCTCCCCCTCCCGTGTTTCGCCAATAACTTATAAACGCGTTATGCTAGCGACATCAAACTTTCAGTACCTTATCATGCATCAATTCGACACGTTTCCTGAAAATTTGAGCGAAATCCGTCGGATTTTTTTGAGAAAATGACGTTTTAGTGAAGTCATGTTCGCCATTTTCGCCTAAAAAACGGCAAAATTTGAAACGCCGCTAACATCTTCATTTTTAAAGGAATAAGACGTAACAAAAAAGGTTATACGTGATGCTACTTTGTCTATCAAATGGTTATCTCGTTTTTTTTTGAAAATTTTTGATTTTGGCTCAATTTTTTCTTCAAATACTGACTTTTTTGGGAAAATAATTATAAAATCCAAAATTTTACGTGTATCGAAAAAAACGGAATATATGTCAGAGAAGTGGTATATGTGCACCTACATATCAATTTTTAGAAGAATCGGTTCAAAATTGTGAAAGTTATTCAACAGTTTATGACATCACGACAAACAATTTTTTGAAAAAAAAAAATATTTTTTGGAAGTTCTAGACCTCGTACGGAAACCAAAATAGCACCATTCGATTTGCCGTGAAAAACTGCATCAGATAGACACCTTTTTAGGCCTTAACAACCAACTTCAAAATTTGACCTCACTTGACCTGACCTTGACCTGACCTCGACCTGAAATTCATCCAGATGTGGTCCATATCACCTATTGCGTGTGCCTATTAAGCTCTATGAATAAAATGACCCATAAAACATGTGTCGCACATGCCCTTTTCTATATTTTGTTTTTGGTGACCTGACCTGACCTGACCTGACCTTGACCTTGACCTCTGAATGATATTGTATGCAAGGAATATTGTCTTGGTAGCCTAAGAACACGTATTGGACAATCACTCTCAGTCCATGACTCCATTCTTCGGCAACTACGGTGCAAGGCCGATACTGTAGAAACTTGCCATTTGTACCCTTGACCTGACCTTGACCTTGACCTCAAACTTTAAATCAAGTACATGTTTTTAGTTGTTCGTGATGAGATCTTTCGATTGGCGTTTGAATTTTCCAAATCTGACCGTTAGTTCGGGAGATAACAGGGGGTAAAATTTACCCCCCAGCCCCGCGCGTTCGGCTGGAGACCCCAGCCCCGCGCGGGTTAAAATTGGAGACCCAGGTCGCTCAAGGTCAGTGTTCCGGGAGTGCTCTTAAATAATGTCTCGAGAATAATGTCTCGAGACAAATACTAAGAATTTGTGTTACGCATGGATTTTGGCTGTCTCATGTGTCTCATCTACTTGTCTGACTAGCATGTCATTTTAAGTATATCATTTGTGTGATATAAATCCTGTACTTATTTATACCTATTGTGTCAACAAACGAAACATGGCGCAGCCGGCAGGATTTCCATTAGTAAAATGTAACGTAAGATAGTAAAAAGAAAAAGCAAAAGACACGATTAGGTACGAGAAATATTCACAACAAAGCAAGCAAGCAAGCAAAGCAGCAAGCAACCAAGTGTATAGGTATGAAGCGAATATTTCAACAAAAGAAAAGAAACAAGCATATCCAGTACAAGTAAGAATAAAAAGTCAAGCAAGCAAGAGAAACAGTAAAAAGCAAGAAATCAAGAGAAGCAAGAAAAGCAAACAGAGAGCACCTGGCATCCAAGAGCCAATCATGCCTGGTTCGTTTAAGCCACCAGATAACTTCGATTTTACATCGCCAGATCAGTGGCCTGCCTGGAGAGAACGCTTCAAGCGATACAGACTAGCGTCAGCTCTGCACAAAGAAGATGAAGAAATTCAAGTATCAGCACTCATCTACAGCATGGGACCCGAAGCCGAGGGCGTAGTGCAATCTTTCGTAGGTGAAGCAAACACTTTTGCAGCAGTGATAGATAAGCTGGATGGATACTTCATTCCGAAGCGAAACCACATCGCCGAAAGACAGTGCTTTGAACAGCGCAACCAAGCGGAATGGGAGTCCAATGAGCAATACATCCGTGCCCTGTTCACGCAAGCTGATAAATGCACTGGCGGATCCAGGGGGGGGGCCACGGGGGCCATGGCCCCCCCCAAAGGCCTAAAGTGGCCGGTTTGGCCCCCCCCAAAACGTCCGAAAAAAATGCTAAGAAAATATACCTTGATGGAGGTTTTTAGCCACTTGGTGAAGTAAAGCTTTCCACAGCATAATATGGAAGCAATATGGTAGCAGTGAGGGTCAGTCAAAAGTTGCGCGAGAGGAGTCGACCTTAAAAAAAGACTGTTGTTGGCACGTGTTTATGGCGCGGCAGCTGGTAGTTGGCGGTGTTTCGCGTGGTGTGGCATCACTGGCCGATCCAGGGGGGGGGGGGCACGGGAGCCTGAGGTGCCCCTGACAGGTCCATGGTGCCCTTGCTAGGCCTGTGGTGCCCCTGGACCCTGGCAGGCCTGTGGTGGCTCTGGCGGGCCTAGGGTGCCCCTGCTAGGCTGCCGATGCCCCTGGGACCTGACAGGACTGCGGTGCCCCTGACAAGCCTAAAGCGCCCCCAACAGGCCCGTGATGTCCCCGACAGGCCCAAGGTGCCCCTGCGTGATGCCGTGATGCCTGCGAGGCCGGCAGGGCCCCTGGCAGGACCATGGTGCCCCTGCGAGGCCGGTGGTGCCCCTGGCAGGTCTCTGGTGTCCCTGACAGACCTGGGGTGCCCCTGACAAGCCTGTGGGCCCCTCACAGGCCCGTGGTGCCCTTGCTAGGCCTGTGGTGCCCCTGGCGGGCTGGTGGTGCCCCTGCTAGGCCGGTGGTGCCCCTGACAGGCACCACCCGGGCACCAAGGGGGGTCATGACCCATGTGGCCCCCCTTGGATCTGCCACTGATACATAATATATTGATTTGTAAAGGCTAGACCGGTGGTGCCCCTGGCAGGCCTGTGGTGCCCCTGCTAGGCCCCTGGTGCCCCTGGGCCCTGACAGGACTGTGGTGCCCCTGCTAGGCCTCTGGTGCCCCTGCAAGGCCGGTGGTGCCCCTGTAAGGCCTGTGGTACCCCTGCTAGGCCTCTGGTGCCCCTAACAGGCCCATGGTGCCCCTGCGAGGCCGGTGGTGCCCCTGGCAGGTCTCTGGTGTCCCTGACAGACCTGGGGTGTCCCTGACAAGCCTGTGGGACCCGTCACAGGCCCGTGGTGCCCTTGCTAGGCCTGTGGTGCCCCTGGCGGGCTGGTGGTGCTCCTGCTAGGCCGGTGGTGCCCCTGCTTGGCCGGTGGTGCCCCCGGGCACCAAGGGGGGTCATGACCCATGTGGCCCCCCTTGTATCTGCCACTGATACATAATATATTGATTTGTAAAGGCGTTATGGCTTATGCAATATGCAATTGCAGGCACTTGGTATCCCTCACTTATCCCTCATTGGGGGCTCTGGCGGGCTCCTGAGGGCCCACGTCTATCTCCATTCTCCGGGAGCCCTAGACGGGCTCCTTTGGGTCCTTTCAGTCCACTACAGCATAAGAGGTCTCCACGCAAGTCCTATACATCTGAGGGCGTACCCTGACGTCTGAGGTACCCAGCTGCAGCTCCAATGGTGTCTTACACTGGCGGATCCAGGGAGGGGGCATTTAGGGCCATGCCCCTTTCCTAGAGGCCTAAAGTGGCCCGTTTGCCCCTCCCCCAAACGATAATGAAACATAGTTCAATCAGTGCGTGGCCCAGGAGCCGAGTTAGACTGGGGGTGTTTTACCACCTCCCGGCCCGCAAAGGGACCCAAGAACTGACTCGAAGCGGGTTAACTGGTCGACAAAAGCAATGGTAAGTGTTCACAAAGTAATATAAAGGCATGGGTCGGGTGGACTACCATTTATATATTTTTCTTTTTAGTTAAAAAAATTAATAGTGTCAGAGCTGTGACGAAAAATAAGTGGCCTAAATCCGATGAGAAAACAGGATTTGGGGGTACCCTAGGTTTGGCTCCGCATGAGTTGGCCCCCCCCAAAACGCAAGCCTGGATCCGCCAGTGGATAAATGTGACTTCGCCGATAAGCAGGAGCGTCTAAGGGACCGGTTATTGGCTGGGATGAAAGACAAGGAACTTTCAAAGAAGGTTCAGCTTAAGGCGCTGGAAGAGGCTGTTACTCTCGATACAGTTATACAGATGCTAAGAAACACGGACATCATTGAGGGTGACACCAGATCAAAGGAACCAATCGGAAGTGTCCAAAGAGTGTACCAAACTCATTATCAAAAGAGACAAAAAGCACACAAAGGGCATGAGCAACAGAAGAAATTCCAGCCAAGATACAAGCCAAACCAAAACAGAGCAAGCATAAGTACAAGCACGACCTGCAAATACTGCGGGCGCGCAAGACACGACAGTCCCAGTGAGTGTCCGGCCCGTGGAAGAACGTGTGCCAAGTGTGGGAGGCGAGACCACTTTGCCGCAGTGTGTCTCTCAAAAGCTCCCGGTCATGTCACTGAGACAAGTGCATCACCGCAGACAGAGCAAAGCGAGAAGATGACATTTTTAGGAGAAACAGAAAGTGGCAGCGTATCAGATTGGCGGGTGCAGCTGGCTGTCCACGGAGAGCAGTGCTCCTTTAAAGCTGACAGCGGTGCCGACGTAAACGTGCTTACCCGACGTCAGTTCCTGGCTTTCAAGGATCCAGTTCAGCTGAAACCAGCCGATAGAAAGCTGCAGAGTGTGGGACACGCACTGGATATCGTCGGCATGTTCAGCGCTGACATCTCATACAAAGGGATGCCACTGACGCAGGAGGCCTTCTATGTCGTTGACACATGTGAGAACCTGCTATCACGAGAGACCTGTTCCAAGCTGGGAATTCTGAGATTCGTAGACGGCATTCAGCAGAGCGTCTACGGAGAAATCGGCCTGATGAAA